TTTTCATGGTATACGTACCATAGCTTTCAGCACTCACACGTATAACGTGTTGAGCCGGTTAGCCGATATCGGCAATGACCGCGAGGCTGAAAGCTTTAGCAATGAATTTTGACTTGTTTTTGATTGTTAACTGCTGCCTTTGATCACAGTTCTTGCGAAAGTTCACAACAGCGCACTTGTCTAGGGACGGTAGTAAAGTCTCCTAAATAGCCAGTCTATAGTTGGCCAATAGGTCACGTTGACCTCGCCTTCGTCCGCACCTAAAAAGCATGGGAAAGGCGGGAAACTCGCGCTGACCTGCCGCAATGGGCGAGGTCTAGGCAACATCTTAAGTGGCCAACGTATTAGGTGGCACCTTGCCTAGACGGCGAACCCGGCAGAGAAAGGGGAAAGTGCGTGGAGATTGCAGAGACGCAGAGGGTCATGTAGAGGGCGACTAAAATGTACCCCTGAGTACATTTTAGTCACCGTCTATCTGCGTCTCTTCAATCCCCATGCACTTTCCCCTTTCTCTCTGCACGTCATGCATTGGTCGCATTGAGCGTCTCTGCGTCCCTGCCATGCGCAGAGCGCAGGGAAGAAAGGGGGTTCGTGGAAGGTGTTGAGTGGAGGGCAGCAAGAAAGCCACTGGAGCTATCGATAATAAGATGAAGCTTTTCACGGGGCCTAAATGGTGATATGCTGTTCCCTGCAGTTGCACTTATTGATCGTGTTATAACTCCTTCCTTGGTCCTGGGAGCTTCACCCCTGTACAATTATCTTAGGCCATGATCCCGAGCAACGATCCAAACACGTCGATTGGCGCAGTGGGTTCGTTCCTTGTTGACATTGGATCGCTCGCGGGATCAATTCTCCATGATACTAGATGTTTTGCAACCCTCATAGGTTACTACCTTGCTTTCTACAATTCTTTCAAAGTAACAGCAGGCTTTGTGTTGTGGTGCAGTGTCGCGCGCATGGGCGCTGCATTAATGGTTCAAGGCATAAGGGCGGGATTTTTGCTAGGAATGTAGTGGAGTTCGCCATTCAGAGCGGGGTCATCTGGCTGTCTCGCCTTTCATTATTCACCGTTTGCGGCCGTAGTTCACCACCTTTAACTCCCAGTCTATGGCACTTTACTACCGTCCCTGATAAGCAGACAGCGGTGAGGTTCAGATTCGTCTGGGATGGTGCGTCAAATTTTTGTTCTCAACCGCATTCTTGTGAAACTTTTGCAAGGCGAACTGCGGCCAAAAACAGATCAAAAACAAGATAAAATATTCGCTATAGATTTTGTTAGGGGTGTGGTTCACTAGGAAAGAAAACGAATTTTCCGCTTTTCGCACGCGAAACTTTTTCGCGGCAAGAATTCTACGTCTACCCACGATCAGCGGTGGACCTAAGGTTCCTGCGTGAAAAAACCTTTGCGTGCAGAAAGCGGGGAAGTTCGCTTTCTGTCCCTGTGATCCACACTCTTTTGTTAGTTCCTTGTTTTCTTAGATTTTTCCGGTTTCAAATTGATTATATAAATAAGAGTTGGGATATTGTTGCGTTGCGTCTTCGGGTTTGGACTTTGTTCATATAGGGTGAGGTGGGGCGCTTGGTGGTGTTGAAACACTCCCCTTCCCAAATAAGCGGCAGTAAAACGGGTCCTGTATCTGCTGTTCTGCAAAAATTTCAACTTTTGATTTGCACGTTAGAAGGCCCCAAGTGAATGGTGAACGCTCCACACTCGTTTCTTGGGCATGTCTCGCCGCTGTAGCTATTTCACGAAACCGTTAAAGACTGCCTGCGTCCACGTGCAGCAACCCGAAAGGATCTATCCCGGTCCCCAAACTATCCGTGCATTCTCCTGGAAGTGCGCGTCCCTCTATTTCTCGATATGGGCAACTGAGTTCACCGACTGAAGTTAGAGAGGTGCGGTCAGAATCTTTACGGACAATCCCTTCGCGGGGCTTTGATGTACAGGGGGCCAATAAAAAAAAGACATTTTGTCTCCACTTTCAGATGGATTTAAGCACACTTTGCTCAATTGAGACCGAGTGTTCCCAACTTAATATTGAAAAGCACATTTCATTCTATAAGAAATCTTCATGTTGGCCACCCACGTGGACGGCAACAGAAGAATTTGCCCTGGAAACATGGTGCACTGGTCGAGCTCAATGGGGTCTTCGAAGGATTCTGTACCATAACGACCTTTACTGGAAAGCTCGTTTCGAGGGGATTTGTATAGTGGGAGCTAACGCCTCTAGAAAACTATCCAACATTAAATCGATTCACGAGGGCCTGCGTTCACTTATAGAGGGACACTTAGGGAATACTCTGCTGAGGAACTCCCGTCAACGCCGGCAGCAATCTCTGCGAAGAAAAAAGGGCCGAAGTCCGACATAGGCAAAATGTCTTTTTTTTTTGCCCCCCCTGTACACGACCCACGTTTGCGGATTTTTCCCGATCGAGCCTACTGATTGCGATAACCAGGCTCAGTGTTTTCGTCTTCTATAAAAGCTAAGTATCGGTGCTTGACTCGAATGAGGTTTCACCGACCTGATTTGGGTTCGCTAAAGGATTCGAATTCACACGAACCATGCGTCCAGAAGTAAGAGTTGAGACACAATTTTGCACTTCAGGGAGCTGTCCGACGCTCTACAAAAAGCTGGTGATGTTATTCCATGGAAGGACGACTATGATGAAGAGACCTACGATGAGGTTTACTGGAAGGCGCACAACGCGAGTTGCTACAAGGCTGGTGTCTTTGTAATCGTTGTTCATTATAGTTATTGAAGAAGAGATACGTAATGATAACATCACGGATAATATATCTATAATGTTTCGAAGTCAATTTGAGTGAATGGTTGTTGTAGGAGAGTAGTTCGAAATATTAGGACATGTATGGAGCTGCATGTTTTCGGCTTGCAATGGATGAATAAGTCTTCGGAAGCTAGTCGGGATTTGAATCGGATTAGTGGAACCAGGCTAGCATGTTATTGTAGCTCCATTCTGAGTCTACAAATGGTCGATACCACCTAGTCGAAAGATGTTTAAGGTGGTGATCGTTTGAAGGCTCATAGCCATCGAATCTTTTATCCCCAACCCACCGCAGTTGTGGGCAGGGATTCAACAATGATGGCCAAGCCCTAGATTATGGCGCGACGTGGGACTAAAGTATTTGCTAAATATATGTACTAGTCCAAATAGAATCTGCGGATTGTTAGAAAAATTGTCGGACACACCCCTCCTGCTTCTCAAAATGAGTGCTGCTAAAGGGGAGTGGCATTGGCTTGAGCGTTAACAGCGGGTTTCTTTTTTCTTTTATTTCAGACATGCTCGAACTTATTATGAATGTTCCAAAACACCAATTTTCCAGGAGCGTTGTTTCATATGAAATATTTCTAAGGTGCGTATAATCATGTACATAATCATTTACATGTTAAAATATAAACCAACTTTTTATCGGCTTGAAGCATTACATGAATCGATCGGTGTATTGTAGGGTTCTCTTCGAGCGCTACAACAGAAAAAGTATAGGTTTGGCTTTTTATTGTAAAATAAAATAGAGGCCAGATTGGTTGGGCGGAGATGTTTTTTGTTGCCTCAATTATGTTCGCAAATGCGTTCGGTCAACGGTTGCAGGCCTGTCGCTGAAACGAAGCGACATGTACTATGATTGAAAACTGGACGAATTTTGCTTGTCACTCTTCCATAATTTTAAATTAGAGAATATCGCGCCATCCGCCTTAAAAGGCACACACCCGATAGAACTATGGGGTCCTTGCATAAAAAGGATAAAAGGATAAAGCATTTGCCGTTGATCAATCCCGTCTTGGGATGCGGCACGCATTCTACTTCCATTTGTATTCGCAGTGGCGTTTGAATGCGATGTGGCCTATACAATGACTTGCGGGGGCCAGCCGATGTACAAGTCAGTGTTTTTATACTCCCAGACAAGTTCAGGTTATTCACATAATCGGAGGGTGGAGGCAGGGTCGGTCCTATCGTTGTTACTTTCTGAAAAATTTTTACGACCCCCCTCCCCCAAGGTGGATTTGATACGACCCCCTTTTCGACACCTCGACCACCATCATCGTCTCTATAGTACTTAATTCTGATACCACTCAACTCACCAAACTCCGCCCACTTTTCCTCCAAAAATGCCGTCGAGCGGGGGGGGGATGGTCACTACGCACGAAATTTAGTGTTCACCAATCCACAAGTAGGACGCCCCCGTTAGGTCACTTGGTTTTGGTTGACCTGATGAAGGCTTTGTTGGGGGGAGACTTCACGAGCCCAGGATTTCGATTCCCCGACGTCGCGTGGTGAGCGGTCATTGCCACTGCACCACTTCGCTAGGTCGATTGACATAGTATGGTGAAACGGAAGGAGAAGAGGTCAAAAACGCTCAAGTTACGGTCTAGCTCACTTTTGTGCTAAGGCAATGAGAGACTGAGTACGGTTGAGAAGGATTGGACGAGCGAGCACACGGTTGAGAGGGCATTTGACGACAGCATGCTGCTGAGAAGTAAAATTGACACGTTTGAAGCGGTCTGCAGGACGCCAGCTTATTGTTGGGTGATTCCATGCGCGGATGTAGCAAATCTGTGACTGTCCTCTGGGGGTAGATCCTACAGACCTAAAAGTCGTTCACACGACTTCTGCCTGGGTTGCGGATCACTGCCGATTCCGCAGCACCCTTGAAACGAGGTCAAGGTGGGAGGGCTGCAGCGGCACCTGTTCAATTTAACCCTTTGGCGACCGCCGTTATGCATACGTCACTTCGCTTCTTTTCAATTTTTTTCATCAGTTAATCATTCATCATTATTATCAATCATTCATCAGTTAATCATCATTCAGTTTAACTCTCTGAAAATTCGATTATTAATAATTAGCTGATTATTCCGCGGATTCGGTGATGTATATGTGTAGTTTTGAAACATAAAAAAATGCCAAAATAAACCACGAAAAACGAGCGAAAGTGGCGGGCCACACGGTCCTCAAAGGGTTAAACACGATTTTTGAATTTTCAGATGTTGAACTCGAATCTGATGGACACCTTAAAGAAGGAAAGCATTGACGTGGCGATAGTCTACGCTGGAAATCCTTGTCAACTTGCAATCACACATGTTTTAGCGATACCGGTGATCTATTTCGATTTGGAAGGTACTTTTAAATCAGATTCTTACCTAACAGTTATCAAAAGTTATCAATATCCAGCGGCCTTGGAAACTCCTTACGTTTAGGTCTGTCTGATGAAACAGTGGTTGCCTCTAATTCACCGCTCAACCTGGACGTTCCCCTTCACGATGTTTCCTGCCTGATGTGAGTAGTTTCACATTGGAATGATAAACAAACTTGGAAAAATGAAAAGCCATTACATTAGGCAAGAAATTTGGGAAACACTGTTCGAGACATATTTCAGCTGGAAACGATTTCTGAATTAGTCACCTTGGGCGCATTTTCCGACCCATTTAGGAAAACGTTGTCCTCTCTTGTTTTTTTGTTAACTGCTGTTTTTGGCCGCAGTTCGCCTTGCGAATGTTTCACAAGAATGCTGGGTTGTGAACAAAACTTTCGCCCCAGACGGGACTCGAACCCGCACCTCTCGCTTACCGGGCAAGTGCGCTACAAGTTACGCTACCGGGGCACCATTTCATCTTGTTGTCCTCTCTCATAGAATCAGACCCCAGAAGGGATAAGGAGGGGCAGTTCGACTAGAGGACGAAAATGTGTTAGGAGAATGAAAATCAGGAAAAAATATAGAGAGATGCAGCAATGACACGAAGAGAGGAAAGAAACTCTTCGTATAACTTGAGAGCGAGATTTGGGTTATACGAGGCGAAGAAAGATAGAAGTGGGCCGATTTTCTGGAATCATCGAGAGAGAGCTGGAGAAAGGAATTCTCATATGTGACCTCCTCCAGTTCACTTTCGTTTCAGCTACCTCATCATGCTCTAATGCGACTACGAAATGGGCTCTGCTACATGAGAGAATATTTGCTGCAAAGTGGCATTCCTCATTTGCCGAAGTTGATTTCGAAAAAATTCCGCCAACTGCCGACTGGATGATCCCATCATCTCGATGTTTGCCGAGGACTTATTGAAAAAAAGAAGTTTCGTTCGCACTCAATTTTCAGGTAAGATTTATACTTGCGCATTGCATTCTAGGTCAACGTTCCAAGTAGTTAGCGAGCTTTTGACGATTCAGCTGCTCTTTTCGTGAGACACCGGATCCCTTGCTTTTGGAATTCCCAGAGCCTTTATCTCCCAGTTGTAGTCCGCTCACTCCATCTCCCCCTTGAGTGGGTAAGATGTAGATCAGCCAAGCCTTTATTGCGGGTAAGTTTTCTTATGATTAGTACGCCTACTTTGTGTAATATTGATGTGAAATTTCGATGTTCTGATTAAATAGGGCCACCAACTTAACTTCTGTTTATTTCGCGCAAGGAAGGGGGGGAGGACTAGCGTCTGCAAATGATTTGCAAGTTATGAACTGTTGTGCAATACCACGTGCATAACTTGATCATGAGCTGAACTGCATTACTTCACCTCGTGCCAGGGGTTCAAGCCTAGCGTTCGTTTTTATTGTGGAGAACTTTTGACTTGGAAAAGGGTAAGCCCACTTTTTAGGAGTTCGAGACTATACCCACCACCACTATCAGCCTTGGGTGGTCAGTCGATATCACGCCCTTCAACCTCCACTCACGTCCGACTACAACCCTCACCACCATGGTCGCTTCAATAGAGTTTGATTCCGAGTTCAGTCGACACTCCACCAACTCCGCACTTTTCCCTCCAAAATGGCAATCGAGCGTGAGGCGGAGGGAGAGGGAGGAGGGAGGGGGTCTGAGGTAAATTTGTCAGAACAACCGGCAATGTTTTGAGTTTCTCTATGACACGTATTATTCTTTATTTACATTAGGAGTTTTGAAAAAGTATCTCTAAAAAACAATAAAGGGATATATGTTTTCGCATCATCGACCATCTAGTTATTCTGTCACGACACGATGTTTAACACCCGCCCAGCCCGGAATAAACCTTTCCCAAAATCACGAGTTTACCCTTCTCTCGTTCCTCTACAATGAACATTGCCATGGTAGGTTTTGATGCTGCTCTCCTCATGTAGTGGCGACGAGTGGGATCCGATCCTGCTCCTTTCCATGAGTGACATGTACCAGTACTAGAGCAAAGTGATCTATAGTTTGGACCTATATTCTTAGTAGCAAGCTCAAGTAGCTCCAATCTCGTTGCTGTGGCTAGGTTGATTGCTTGTATGGAGTTATTTTCCATTTCCCCTACCATTTGGCCCAGCTGAAGTGTCCATCTCGAGCGCACGGATTATAAGAAAACGTTCGATTAGCTTCTAATGCACTTCCTCTCTGGCTATTTTAGGATTTCTCTTTAAATAGCGCTTAACTTTCAAAATTTATCCACTTGAGGGTTCAATCATGACTTATTTATTTAATACTCAATTCAGCCATGGAACACCTCTATTGAGTCTGCTAGAGATGGCCTGATCGTGGTCAGCCTCGGAACCCAAGCGAATCACGCCTACATGACGGAGCCGCAGGTATGTTAACAACACATAATGTATTAAATATGTTTGTTCAATATGCAGTCGGACGAAGCACTATGTTTTTCATCAATACCGGTAGCTCCTTAGTGTAGTTCCACTTCTGCTTCGTATCCGTAACTTCCACCGATTCCCAGAAATGCTCTGCTCTTCACTCCCTACCTCTTCGAAGAGGCTCACTTGAATGGTGATGCCCTTGTACCCGACGCTTCCTGCAACCAGTGAACCCAACCTCCACAGAGCATTGTAGGCCGCCGTCGTCCAAAATTTCTCGTCTCGTTCTTCTTGATGCTCTTGATCGCTTCATGCTGGTTCAAAAACTGTTGATACATTTAAAAGCGATAGTATAGTTTTCCTCGATTGCTTTCACAGTAAGTATGCTCTATTCAAGGCACCATAAGCTTAAGGGCCCGCTCCGTAAGTAAGGTGGATCGGTCGTTAAGGTTGCGTTCACTACGTGGCTGAAAAAGGTTGCAAGAGCGTTGGCTACCTGTGTTACTCAGAAGAATTCATAGGAAATGGTTGCACCTTCGGGGTGAAGCGCCTGTGTCTCTCTAGGTTCTGTGGTCTCTCACCTCCTCATAGTTTGCTTTTTCGTCCCGGCGCTCACATCAAAGGCAAAAGCAGAGCTCTTTCTCACTGAATAGGTTCCTTCCGTGAGCGGAGGTACTATGTCCGCTACAGTTGAGGTCGCGACAAGGGAGCACCTCCGAACGCCTCTCTAAGGCGCTGTACACCTACAATTCCGATCCGCCAACGCCTACTCGTACTAATCCGTACCGACCCACCGCAACATCTTCTCTATATCATATTTATTGATCAGATCTATTGAATCGGTGATTCTTCTTCTTTGCGACTCACACCATATCTTGTTGTTGCTTTCTGCCTCTTAGACGTCTTCGCTGCGTAGAGCAAGGAGGATCGTGTTCTTTTATTTGTTTTGAGGAATATTCGTTCCTTTTTCTGCACTTGCTGCGTCCACTCTGCATCTCTTCTTCCGCATTCGATGGGGATTGCCACATCAAATTGATGCTGACCTTTACGCGCTTTCATTTTCAGTTTTTCAATAGGTAGTCACAAAGCTCTACTACACTATCTTTACTGAACTGCACGACCCATGCCTTTACTCGCCAGACATGTGTATCGATCGGAATTCAGGCTTCTGTATCTCAATCGCCAGTTGAGCACCGATAACAAAAATCGATCGATCAAAAATGCTTACATTTAACGCGATATCCGGTGGAATTTCGCTGGTGATCAATAATGTAAACATCATTATTTTCAGGTAAAAGCCATATTAGGAGCGCTGTCAAAGCTCACTAGCTACCGTATTTACTGGCGAATCGGACACAAGGTGCAACTGAGGAATGTGAGCGAGGAAAATGTGCCAAGTCATATCAACCTCACCGCCTTCATCCCACAGAATGACCTCCTTGGTTGGTCAACGTTTGAGACCTTTCATACCGATAGCGAATTTTATACATAGTTAGTTTTTTGGAAAATGAGAGCAAGTTTAGCTCAACAAATCCTTGCAAACTACTGGTAACGAATGGAGGAATGTCATCAATTATGGAGGCTGTGGCTCACGGAGTACCGATTGTTGGAATTCCGCTTTATGGAAGCAACAGCATTATACTTGAAGAAAGTCTCTTTGTGAGAAAGGTAGGCGTAAGCTCAATATTTGCCATTGGTGATTTTCAGTCGGCTGATCGTTCCTAGCCATTTGCGCGAGCTTTCGCATTAAAAGTAATAAATTTGAGCTGGCTCCAGTCCAGGTCCAGTGAGAATTGGAGATTCTGCGGGAACACGAGTTTTAATGCTTCAGCGGTAATCCTTCAAAGGCACGCACACGGTCTGTAGACAAATTAGGGTTCAAGTCGTGCCGTTCCTTGCCGTTTTCAATGGACTACCACCCGTACCAACAATACGTCCCAAAGTTTAGGTCCGGGTAATTGCTTACTGGCGTGTTTGACGACAGAAGGATACACTGCCTTGACATGGGGTGGACCACGGTAGTGGTTGTATAGGAAAAGTCGTAATTGAGTACCGCTACGCTTCTGAATGAAAGGCTATAGGACCATTTTGCCCCCATTGCCCTGATTTAAGGAAGCGATCACGCTGGCTTCCACGCTGGATTTGCTACCCTCGCGTTATCAATCGATAAGGTGTGAGGCAGTAATTGTTGGACGAGTGTAAGCCCATGGAAGATATGATACGATGAGATAAGAAGGTGCGGCTGCTTGATAAGAGGTGCACTCCAGAATGAAAACGGGACGATAACGATAACGGTATCATATCTAGCACGCTCTTATCGCACCCCTTTCCACATCGATAAGTCTTGGTTTTTGCTGAACGGAAGTGGATTTCGGCGCCTTATCACTCCGTTGATAAGGCGCCACTGCCACTGAAACTTTACGTGTTCTAACATTGGGCAGGACCCCTATCCACTCCAGTACACAGCTTCCTTATCGTCCCTATGAGATTATCGTGACCACTTCCTTTATATACCATTTGCAAGCTCATCTAAGTCCTCAAATGCCAAATTTGGCAACAATTTTTTCACGGCGGTTTCTTCTAAGCGACGCTCTTTGATTAATATTGTATGACATTCTTATACGTTCCCTTGGTTGGTGTGCCAACACACAGTATTGCCGCCGCAGCACAGGCCATGTCCACACCTCTAAGTCACACTTCTTTTAGATCGCATTTATGAAATGTTTTTCTTCAGGGACTTGGTTTAATGGTCAACAAAAAGGAGTTACGAGAAGATAGACTATTGAGCGCAATGAAATCGGTGCTCCAAGGTAGCAAGTAAGTGAATTTTGAAAATATGGTTTGGCAAAGCTTGAGATTTTGATTACTTACAAATCCGGGAATTTCTTACGAACGAATTATTAGTTGTTAGACTGAATACCCACCAAATCCAAGACGATCTCAAAAGCTCATCACGATGACCAGGGAAGGTTGGGAGAGGAGGAAAGGGTGCACAGGCCTACCAAACTAAAATCTGAAGTGGTTGGATCTTAAGGTTTCATAGGGATAAACTTTTGATTCCTTCACCTACGAAACTAAGCAAAACAGTCTAGGTATCTCAAATTTAAAAGTCAAGTTTGCCAAATAGAGGTTTCCTTTCATGAAAAGCCGCCCTTTTTGTTATGTCGGACTCACAAGGACCTGGCTTCATTCCCACGAACCCGTTTTGTAGTGACCTGACATAGGGCAATAGCACTGATTCAAGCACTGGAACGTCCTGTAAGTTTGCCATTGCATGGGATACACAAGGGCACTTCGGGAAGAGTCAAACATTTTGCCAAGAAAAGCTAATGCACGGCGTAACTGAGGCTGAACGAATCCGAGGTCTTTATTCTTCATCCTCCACGACGAAGAAAAGAGAATTGCTAGCAGAATTTATTTGTTAGCTTTTTATTTATTTATTTGTTTATTGATACCACAGAAATTCTGTTTCTTTCAAATTTAGCAACTTTTTTCAGGTATACAAAGGTAGCAAAAGAAATGTCTAAGGACTTCCGTGCTCGTCCGTCGACCCCATTCGAAACAGCTCTACACTATATAGAACTTGTTGGTCGTCACCGCGGTTCAGGCTTTGACGGTGTTGCAGCTTGTGATCTCTCCTACTCTTAACTAGACTTCTTATTTGTTAAACTTGCTTGTAGCGCGCATACCTTTTATTTGCTATTTTGCTACTGCAGAGTTTCTTATTGATTTGCCGCCGATCTTCTATACCGTCCATTGTTGTTACTGTAGATAAGAGCAGTCAGAGTCTTCGTACCAAGAAAGAAAATTGACAAGTATTCGAGTAGTTTCTTATTCTTTGGTGAAAGTGTTGTTGTATTTTGCTGTAATACGTGTCGTTTTCTTTCATTTTAAGCTTTTATGATAGATGTCTTCCAAAAAGTAAAATGATTATTGATATTACGACGATATGCTACAAACAATTTCTTGAAGCGCGCGACTCAACCGCAAACACTGGATTCGGAGAGAGGTGCAAGCGATTTACACCCATTTCGTGGGTTTCAGAAACGCATGCAATTTTTATTCACCATTAGCTCGCGTTTTCTGTTAACAATTTTTATATGACAAACATGTCAAACTCAAGCTGCCGTCGCTGTTATGGGCAGCCATATTCTTCTTCATTTTCTTCTTCTCCCTAGCCTTAGTCCCGCACAGTCGCAGGGTCCGCTGTCTTTAATCTGTCGTCACCACTTCAAAAGGAATCTTCCACGGAAAAAGCTCCGCCCTCATTACCACAGAAAACGATACCTCAAAGGAATCTTCCACGGAAAGAGTGATCATTTTGTCTTGTGTGTAGGATTAGTATTATCGAAACTAACGCTTATGTTTCATTCATTCTTTTATCAAAATTATAGGTCCATAATGTTGTGAATATCATAAACTTTTTCGGCAAGTACTATGAAATTTCGAATTGTTTCGACATAAGCTCAAAAACTAAGAAGGTGGGCCAATTTTCAAAGCTTCTTAGTTTCTTTGTTTGTGATCGAATAGCTTCCAAATTTCGCCATAATGATACCTATATGCTCACAAGTAATAAACAATAGCTAGAAGAAAAATTTCTCCACGGGGAAAAATTCAGGTCCGAAAGGGTTAAACTGCCAGGGCCATCTTCTGCTTGTGGCCGATTCACTTTACTTTAGGTCTTTTTTTGATCACGTCTCTCCACCTCTTCTTTGAGGCTCCTCGCGGTCGCTCAAAGTATGCATCATTGGCTACGCTCTACGCCACGAATCCCGCTACACCAATTGATGCTGTAGTACTTCGCTTCAATGCCACTGCAGGGAAGGGGTTCATTCCACGGCCTTGTCGACTGTTTCTTTCAATTTTTCTTCCTTTTTTTTTTATATCTCCCACTGTCACTTCAAAGCCACTTACACACGAGTTTGCGCCGGCGCCTTGCCTTCAAACCACACCAGTCAATACCACATCAGCAAATTGGGCAATTTAGAGTGATTGGTGATGCACTACACACACAGACAGCGACGATGATGATTCTCACCTTTCGTGCCCGGCCTTTTCTTTTCCTTTCTTTTGATACTGGGTGTGAACCTCTATCAGCGAAGGGGAAAGCTTACACCATCACGACTCTTCTACTCTTCTGTTGTGCCTATTGACCTATCTTTGCTTCAGTTTATTCTCGGAGAATATGTATAACTGTGGCTGTAATTGCTAACTTGCTATTTTGTGCAGATCAG